TACACCGAAGCCATGGCTAGTTAAATGAGAACACCCCAGGCTACACATGCAAACTATTGAATAACTCACTAGTGACATCCTTCCTCAGTTTACAAAGTGCTTCATAATTATTAAGGCCTGACTTTCCCATTAGTGGAAGCTCTTCCAAGCACGTAACTTAAAAATAGCACTAGCAGAAAGAAATCACAGAAAACAGCCTTTTAAACCCAGGTGAATTATAATAGTTCCAGAAGAACAAACCCAGTGATGCTCTTTCTTTGCTCTGACTGGCTGGAAGCACTGAAAGTGAATCGTGCTAGTGTCATTTTATTCCTGCTCAAAGGAGTCATCAGTATCTGCCTGAGGATGGTGGGAGGGGTGGAGAAAGGGGACGAAGCCAGATACCCAGCATGAGCCAGAATGCTAAACAGTAGCTACTGTAGGACAAGGGAGGAAACTGAGCCTTCAGTAGTATCTTGAAGCAGTCAGGTACCAGTTTTCAAGCCGAGGGCTGGCATTGTGCTTATCCGATCAGAACGTGATCCAGCGTTTCTGTCACGTCAGGCGGTCATCACTAGTCATATAGCACCTGTGAGAGCGGGATGTGACCCCGCTGCCATAAATGGAGATCCACTGGGTGAGGTGGTGGCTCTACCTCATCTGGCCAGTAGAGGGCGGTGTGATACCACATGGAACAACACTGAGCCTGGCCAATAACACAGTAAAGAATGGGCAGCATCTTTCCATCTGCAAGAAAATCTTCATAGAAGTCATTTTACCACTGCCTTGACTGCTCTTGAGGGAAGGATGCTCAGGCATGGTAGAGACCACCCTGTGAGGGGAACTGGTCTTCCTCTTGCTAAAAACAGCCTCTTCTCCCACCATAAACCCTGCCAGTTAGCAAGTTGTGACTGCTGTTATCTGCTTTATCAAAGACAACCCTCCAGGAAGTGGCAGGGCTCCACGGAGAGACCCCACTCACTACATTTCATGGGTCAGGATGTGAAATGGACCAGTCTTCTGTCCACTCCCCCCACAGCCCAGCCTGGAGGTTCCTGATCAAACAGGCAGAGGTATCCCCACTGTGCACAGGCACACTGGTTTCCAGCCAAGAGATGGGGCTGTGGGAGCCACATCCTTGCCTTACCTGACTAGTTCAGCACGACCCAGCCCTCAGGAAACTGGGCATAAGCTAGTCTATCTGACCAGCAGATGTGCACCCCAAGGGGCATGGTGACGTCTGGTTGAAACCTGGGGCACTCGGGAATTGGGAGACAGAAGGAAGCACACAAGATAGGAGTGGGCGGGAACAGAAGTGTGGCTCCTGTAGCCTGGGCTGGGGCGAGGCTAAGGAGTGCAGGCCCCAGTGCACAGCCCAGGGCACACCAGTGGACAGCTGGCCAGCTGTGGATACCCACAACCCAGCCAGCAACCCGAGGGTTCTGTTTCCTTCTGGATGACCTAGGGGTGCTGAGGCTTTCTCGCTCTACATAGCCATCAGTAAGTGGAAGGCTGGAGGGGGGTTTAGTCTGGGGAAGTGTATCTCTTGCTTTTAGCACCCAGGAGACTGTGCGGGCTCAGTAAAGCAGAAACACCTCCATCTCTGAACTTTACGTCATGCTTGCTTCCTCCATTTTTCCCGGAGTAAATAGATTAATAGAGTGACATTCTTCCTGTCTTTGCTAACTAGCCCATAACCTTTTGGTTTAGCTGTTCCTTAGCAATGTAACTACTAATCACCAGACCCCAGCCCAGAGCCATGGGGACCATTAAACAAAGATCTGGAGGGTGCCCTTAGAAATAATTAACCTGTGGGACCAGCAGTTAGCATAATGGCTATGTCACTGGCCTCCCATGTAGTTGACCGCGGTTCGAGTCCCAGACCTGGTGGCTTAAACTCACACTGGGCGGGTGTGCATGCGTGCCCAAGATCCTGAGAGGAGAATGGAGAAGAGATTGCAGCATGGCCATCCCCCCTGAGGGTGATTTCTCTCGCTTTCTGTCTCTCTGTCTCTCTTTCTGGTGAGTGCATGCACCCTATAGCAAAAACCTCTCAAAAAAAAAAAAAAGGAAAGAGAGAAAAAGAAAAGAGATAATTAACCTGCTTAACTCAGCTTCCTGAAACTGCTTCTGAATGGGAACCAAACTCCCTTTCTTCTTCACCCCCTCCACAGTTCCCATCGTAATCACCGTATCAACCCAGAATTGATTGTGATTTTTGCCTATATAAACAGCCCTCTCCTTCCACTCGGGGCTGCGGTATTCTGAGTGACAGGAGTCTCCCCATATGCCAGTGGTGTAATCAATAAAACTCCAATAAACGTGGCTACAGCTAGATGCCCTCTTATTTCTCTCTGATTAGACTGTAACATCAGGACATGGTGAATGACCCTCAGTTTGGGTGAAGCTCAGTGAGGCAGGAGTTAGACCTTCTTTACAGCCCTCCATACACACCAGAAAGAGCCACTGAGCTGACAATTCCTCTCCTCTCCCAGTCGCCACCGTCCTTGCCCTTGGACATGTGCCTGACACACTAGAAACGCTGGGTGGTGTTCTGAGAGGGTAAGCACAATGTCCTCTGCTTGAAAACTGGCACCTGACTGCCTCAAGACACTACCGAAGGCTATCTCCTCCCTTGCCCTACACTGGCCACTCTCATTTCAGGCCCATGCTGGGATCACGGGCTTTGTCCTCTTCCCCTACCCCTCCCACTATTCTCTTAAAAAATTCATGGCTCTTTACAAAGGGACTTAGTTAGAAAAAGACCAAAGGTTGGAGGACAGCAGATAATGTAAAAGCACTATCACAGAGAGGCCAGCAGGTGGCGTGGTAGTTAAGGTCACTGGACTCCCACATGGTCAACCATGGTTCTAGTCCTGGACCTGGAGGCTTGATTTCTCTCTCTCTCTCACTCGCTCGCTCACTCTGTCCCTCACTGGTCAAATTAAAAATAAAGTTAAATAAAATAATTCTTTTTTAAAATAACTATTTAAAAAATAATAAAATAAAAGCACTCTCACAGAGACCAGAATGGGACAAGGCACTCCGTGGGTGGGGACATCCCTGCCTCTGGGATGAACTGCAAGATATGGATCACCAGGCCCTTAAAGATAACTGAGATAATGACCTTTTCCAAATTGACAGCCCCCAAACAAACCAGTTTCCAACTAGCCACCATTCATTTAGGTTCTCATGACTCTGAGACCACCCTAAGGTATAACATAACCTATAGAACACGTGACCCCCTACTGCAAGAACACACGCAGATTCCTCACAGCTGGGTATAAACCTGGAACCCAAACCACTTAGCACCCTCTTTTCTTTTTCTTTTTTTTCTTTTTTTATTTTTTATTTTTTTTTTGACAGGTTTTTGCTATAGTGCATGTGCAGTTGTCAGAGAGACAGAGAAAGACAGAAACAGAAAGCAAGAAATCACCCCCCGGCAGGGATGGCTACGATGCAAGCCCTTCTCCTCCATTTTCCTCTCAGGATTTTGGGCATGTGTGAGTTTCAAGCCTCCAGGTCTGGAACTTGAACCATGGTCCACCATGTGGGAGTCCAGCAGCGTAAAAATTATACCATCTGCTTGTCCAAGCAACAACTCATTTCAGGACCCCTTCCTTCTTGGGAGCTTTGCCTTCCACCTTCAATAAACTTTCTGCTTGCTTTCTCCTCTGTGTCCACCTCTCTAATTCTTCCTGAGCATGAGACAAGAACTTGTGTCTCGCTGTGGGTGCTAGGCCCAGTCACACCACCATCCCCCCACATCCCTGCATTATCAGCAGACACAAATGGGTTTTTCTAGTGTGCAGGCCACACACGTGCATCCACACACTTCGCACACTACTGCACCCTTCGGTCACACAACAGACCACTAAGCAGAGCCTCAGAGCATGGCAAGCGTGCCCCAGAGCCCACTGACATGGAGATGAGAAGTCAACTAGGAACATGAGGCAACCCAGAAGCCAGTGACATCCGGAGACTCAACCTCCTCTGGCCGAGAGAACAAGACCCACCTAAGGAGCAGCAGCTGCCAGGCTCACCTGAGGCAGAGGAAAGGATACACTGACACTCCCCTCCCCACTGCAGATTTGTGTCAATGACCAAACCCCAGAGGATCCTGGAGTTGGCATGTCAATGGAGGCTAAGGCTGACCCAAGGTCAACGCACCATGGCAGACCTAACGGGACAACCTGTCTGCACGCAGGTGTCTTTCTGTCCACAGGATCGTGACCTGCCTAGTACTAGCAGTGTGAAGAGTGACGTAGAAGGTTCCAGAAATTTGCCTGAATGACGTCCGTATGCATTTGGGCATTCATTGATGTCTCTAACTCCTGCTCTCCGTTGCTTTTGTTTTGGAGTCTTTCATGACGAGCGGTGTGTAGAATTTTAAAAATACATCAGGAAATGAGTTGTCTGGCTCTACTATCAGATTTCTTATTTAATTATATGAAATCTGACCGGCATTCAAATTTGAAAGTCTGAAAAATTCCTGTAGAAATAGTTCAAGCACTCATCAGAATGTTCTTGAAGAAGTCCCAAATCAGGCTCATAGAGTTGAAAATGCTTTATCAAACTTAAAAAAAAAAAAAATGATGTGGTTAATCCAAGATCCCTTGCCTCTAACATGCAACTCGGTTTCCAAAATTATTTTTTTAAGTTTATCTATTTGTTGTTGCTTTGAGGGAAAGCAATGGTGATGGCCATGCCACAATCCTTTCTCTGTTCTCTCGGGATTTGGGACATCCACGCATGTGTACTCAGTGTGTTTTGCAAACTGCTGGATCCAGGATTTGACTTGCAGAGTTGGTCGTATGGGATGCAGTGCTTTAACCACCATGCCATCTGCTGACCTTATGTGTTTTATTTCTTCCATGAATGAGAGAAACAGAAACAGGCATGCATCCTCAACAGGGTCTTGGCACCGCAAGCCACCCCAGCCTTGGATAGCCCCAGATTACTGGCACACATGCAAACTCCCTCAATTCTTGGAGAAGGTGTGTTCAAAGTCAGGCAAGAGGACACGGGACAATAATTTTATTGACAAGTTATCACAGCAGCTGCCTTTGTTGCTCCGCAGGAACTTCAAGGCTTCCCCAAGCTCTTCTTGATGAAGTAGCCCACTAGCCGCTGTGGCCTCTGTTGGTACTCGGCCAGCACCTCATGAGGGCTACTGATCTGGTCCCCTTGTAGGCGGTCCAGGAGGGTGACACACACCACGGCAGCTGTAGAGAGCAAGGGCCATGGGTTAGGGCAAGTGTGGGTCCCTAAGGCAGTTCACGGAGAAGGAACAGTGAGCTCTGAGTAGCAACCTCTACTGCCCCTTGGGAAACCAGGGCTGCTGTTCAGACCAACAAGAGGGGTGGATGATCGAAGAGGGAAGGATGCTGGTCAGCGCTCTGAAGGCCCCTTCCTTTTTAACACTGCCTTGCCATATTCTTATCCCCCCACCCCCCCAGCCTTTGCTTCCAAAAGAAATTTCTACAACAGTTAAGGGTGACAGGGCTGCCCCACACCACCTTGAGAGGTGCATTGTGACAACAGGATGCAGGGAATTCTGGAAGGCAGACCTAAACTTGGTGGATTAACTACAACTCAGGCAGTACAACACAGAGCTGTGAAAGGTGACTTCTTTGTAGAACTGAGGGCAATCTCATTTGGTAGCAAAACATGACCTGAACTGAGACAATCTCTTTAATCATCTTTCTTGACTACTTCTCTCATCCTCCAGTCTTGGAGAGTCCTGCATTTTCATGTGCAAAAATCAAACAACATTGTGTGCAGGAGAGCAAGGGTGCTACCTATCATATTAAATTCAATTAATTTGGACTTAACTGAGCCTCAGCCACTCATAGTAGCTGACACCTAAACACAGCCCTCAGTCAATAATCACAGGCTGAAAGCTGCTCAAACATGACCATATTAGGCAAATGCCAACTGCAGCCAATCAGATTGTCTTTGTATGTCACTTCCTTTACTTTGGCTGTAAATATAAGCTGCACATGGGGTGGAGCTTTCTATACCAACTTCAACCCGGAATGCTGCCCGGTCCTAGAATCTGTCTCATACCCCAATAAACTGTTAAAGCTAACTGGTCTCAGATTTTTCCCTTTTTGAAAGTCAGAAACTGGGAGCTAGGTGGGCAGAACCACTACTGGGGTGCCCCGCCTACCTCGGAGGCCACAGGCGCTGCACATGGCGGCAAACACTGAGGACTCCATCTCGATGTTCCGGATGCCCGCAGCATAGGCGGCCCGCAGGTACACCTGCTTGTCCTTCTCCGTGTAGGAGCAGAGAGCGCCGTCCAGGCGGCCTTGCCCTGCAGCACACAAAGACACATGAAAACCATGCACAGGTAGAAAGCTCCTACTGTGTGGACATGAGCCCAGGCAAGCCCCACCAGCCCTCCTGCCCTCAAAGCACATGGCCCACTCAGACAGGCCATTTAAACTAACCCAAGGATGCTGCATTGGCAGAACTCAGCATGTGGAAACCAGCTTGGAAAACATATCCATGGAAGGGCGTCAGGCTCAGGGGAGGACCCAGCTCCCTGTACATGGCATTGTCCCACACCCGGAAGCTCACCTTCATAGAAGTCCAAGGTGCACATGGTGTTGCCCACCACCGTGCTAAACTCGCTCAGGTCCGCAGAGCACTGCATCAGCTCCTGCACCAGCCCCTCATCCAGGTCTGTGCTCCGAACCACCCGCTTCCCTAGGATAATCTGCTCAAACTCCGGCTTGAAGCAGGCGTCCACTGCCTGCCGGGTTATGACCACAGAGCCAGGCTCCAGACCTGAAGAAAGCAGCTGATGTCAGGGCCACAGGTCTGGGAGGACACAGCAAAGCCCAAAATAGAAAGAAAATGATCTATCACCTGTCAAGATCCTGAAGCATCAATATCGTTCTAAACAGGACACAATGATCTATTTCCCCATCACAATTTTCTTCTCTGACTATAAAGGTAACTAATAACGTAAGTGCAGTAGAAAAGGTGGAAGATAAAGCCCAAAGAAGAAACTTACAATTGCAAGTCAGTCCTGTAGTTTAGTGGTTAAGGGAGCCGGATTCTACATGGCCAACCATGGTTTGAATCCTGGCTCTGGCAGCTAGAAAACACACTGGGCACGTGTGCGTTCAAGTATAAAATCCCAACAGGAAGGAGAAATGAAGAATGGATTGTGACATGACTATGAGCCATGGGGGCAGGGGGATTTTCCCTCTCTTTCTTTCTGTCTCTGGCAAGTGCACATGCACTCTGAGTATTTAAAGAAAAAAAGAAAAAAGATAGAAATTGCCAGGAACCTCCCTACCGTTCATGAATTGGTTTTGTGTCTCTTGGTTGTCCTGTCTTCAGTGTCTATGGCCACCATACGGGTCACGGATGATGTGTTTAATTGATTTGCATTTTCTACCTTTTCATCATTTACCATTTCAAGCCAATACTTGAAATTAAGCAAGCAAAACTAGACTAGACTAGTATAATGCACCCTCATGCACCCCAAACTCAGAATAACAGTCGTCACCTATTAATCAGCTTGGTTTTTCTGTTCGACCTATTACTAAAAGCTTGTATCTATTTTCTGGGCACATCCTTCTAGAGTATTTTCAGGCTTGTGGGGACATTAGTCTCTCCTTATACTTTCATCACACAATAACTTGACCATTGTTACAGACAGAGCGTTTGGGTTTCCTTCCACTTCCATATGCATCTGTTGAAATTGTAACCTTCAGAGGCAATAGGAAGTGAGGAGTGGTTAGATTTGATGGTGGAGGGCCTGATCTCTTTCTCCATGTGAGCACACAGAAAAAAGATGGTGCCTATGAACCAGAAAGCCAACCCTCATCAGATTCAGCAGGTGGTGTGGAGGTCTTAGACTTCCGGCCTCCAAAACTGTGAGAAATACACGTCTGCTGTTTGAGCCACACTATCTATAGCATATTATTAAGCGACCTGAGCTGACTAAAACAATCATGATCCTTTCCTGATACTTTATAATTCTCTTTGTTGTTGTTGTTGTTGTTTTTGCTATAGGGCATGTGTGCTCTCCAAAGAGATGCACACATCAAGAGAAATTGAGAAATCACCCCCAGGGGGATGGCCACATTGCAATTCCTTCTCCATTCTGCTTTTGAGATTTGTGGACATGCACACACCGGCCTGATATGATTTTCAAGTCACCAGGTCTGGGGCTCCAACCACACAGCCAGCCTTACAGGATCCAGCACGTTAACCTCCATGCCACCTGCTAGCCCCTCTTGATATTTATTTTAATGAAAAATTGCTTTTCCTAAACATACAGGAAGGAAGAAGTTAAGAAATTTTTCTTGAACTCTCACATTAATTACTTTCATGAAACATTTAAAAATATAGCCAACTGCTAAACCTTCTGACTGTTCTGCTTCTGCATCCATATTTATTTGAACTTCCACTTTCCTATCGCTGTCCCTGCTCTGGTCAATTCAGAATCTTCTCCCAGAAGTTTTCCCCAGCTTTGAGATGGAGCTGGGGCAGGGTTTGTCCAATGCTTTTGTGAACTCCTTGTGCCTGGAATACTCAAGCCCTTTCAGACTTCAGTGTCATCTTCAGTTGGAATGTGCAAATCCCCTCAAGTAACAGTGGCTGTTCTCACTCCATGTGACCCCTACATTTTCTTAGGGGTACCTGTTGTCTGTCTTGGGATGCATTTGTCCTCAGTTTTGCAGTTGCCCTGAGCTTCCTTCCAAGCAGGTACCAGCCAGTACCTCCCAGATCTTCTGGCTATTGGTCCTCCCCTATCCATATTTTAAGATTGTGTTTGTTTTAGATCATGGTTCGTCCCCCAAAGGTTCATGTTCTGGAAGCTCAGTCCCCAGTGTAATGGCTTTGGAGGTGGTCAGACCTTTAAGAGGCCTAATGGGCGGGCACCATCCAACCAGGAACATAGCTGGAGCGAACAGAGAAAGTGGGAAAATCTGTTTCCTTTCTTTTTCTTTCACATATCTGCCTTCTTTCCTGCTTCTACTAGCCATGCCATGATGCTGGCCCCATAATTTGCACTTTCCAGACAGGAAATCATGACTCAATAAAAGCCTGTTCTTTACAAATTACCTAGTCTCAGGTCTTTACGTTAGCAACACAGCAGACTAAGACACGTCACATTTTGTTACTGATGCTGTGTAGGGGTTTAGGGCCATTGTCTCTAGTAGTTCTGTCCAATTTCATGGGAAGACTTAGAAAGTGTCAAAATCTATACTATTGTCTCCGGAATTCTCTCTGATCACCAACTTTAAAAGTCCTTGCAAGGGGAGGACCAGCAGATGGTATAATGGTTATGTCACTGGACTCCCATGTAATCAATCATCATTCATAGTCCCTGGCCTGGTGGCTTAAAATTCACACCAGGCACATGTACATGCATGCCCAAAATCCTGAGAGGAGACTGGAGGAAAAGGATTTACGGCGTGACCAGCCCCCAAGGGGTGATTTATTGCTTTCTGTTTCTTTATCTCTGTCTCTCTGTTCATCTCTGTCTCTCTTAAAAAAATTCCTTACAAGGGAGTCCGCAGGTGGGGTAGTGGTTAAGACACTGGACTCCCACATGGCTGATCATAGTTCAAGTCCCGGATCTGGCAGCTTGAAAATCACGCTGGACAGATGTGTGTGTGTGTGCCCAAAGTCACAGGAGGAGAATAGAGAAAGTATTTTAGTGTGGCCATCGCCCCTAAAGGGTCAGTTCCCACTTTCTTTCTCTCCATCTCTCTCCTCACAGGTGAGCAGATGCACCCTATAGCAAAAGCCTTAAAGGAAAAAAAAAAAAAACTCTATGAAGAAGGGACTCAAGAATGACTTCCTAGAGTTCCTGGCAGACACTAGTATAATAGGCTGTGACTGTCCAGTTGGTGACACTGGAGACTTGAGTCTGCAGACAGATGGCTCATAGCCATGGGTATGTTTTCCCGTAAACGGCTTCTCTAAACTTGGAACTCATCATGGAAACACAGACTTCACATAGAAATCTCTCCATAAAATGAAAAGCAACAAATGAGATATATACTCAAAAGATCCAGTATCTATAGCAGTTAAAGCTGTATTATAGTCAGAAAATCTAAATTCTGAAATGACAGTAAATCCAGGAGATTCCAGGCCTAGATGGTCAGAAACAAATACACACAGGTTTGACCAATGACATCATGCAAATGCAGGCTTCATCCACTTGTTCCAAGTGCTTCTGCAAGACCAAGAATTGCTAGAACCCAGTTCATAGCAGAAAGACAAGTTAGGACCTCAGAGAGCAGGACTACTTACTTAAAACAGCCCTGCCTAACAGACTTTTGCTAACAGTTCAATAATTTTGTAGCATTTTGCTTTCTCATTTCTTCATCCTTTTTTTTTTCCTTAGTCATGTTGAGGACTGAAACATTTCCGCTAATTTAAGAACACTTAGATTTATATTTCACTTGTATCTCCCTTTGATTTTCCTGTAGGTTTTCTCGTAAGGTGCCTCAAATGCTTTCAGGAAGAGGGAGGAGAATTGAGCAATAGAGAAAAAGGCAAAGAGAAAAGAAGATTCGAAGGAATAAAAGAGAATCAAATAAATGAGAGGCTACAAAGCATGCACCCCAAAAGGATGAGTTCCTGCAGATGTAGGGCCTTGTGACTTGCCGCTACTGGTTTCTAAAGCACAAGGAGGGAAAACAGGTTGAGCTTTTTTAAAAAACGAATTATTTTATTTAACTTTATTTATTTTATTTATTTCTTTTCATTTGACCAGAGAGGGACAGAATAAGAGAGAAAGAGGGAAAGTGGGAAAGCAAGTCACCAGGTCCAGGACTCAAACTACGGTCGGCCATGGGGGAGTCCAGCGCCCTTAACTACCACGCTACCTGCCGGCCCCACAGACTCGATTAAAATTTTAAAAAAGCAAGACTCCTCTTTATTTAAGCTTTTCTTAAATAAAACCAAGGTAAGAACTCTTTGTCACCAACCCCACACCATGACAGAGCTGCTCCAAGAGGCTCCACTGTCCATTCAACACTCAGACCTTACCGATCCCTCCAGAGGTGCCGATGCGGATGATGGTGACATGAGAGCACCTGGCGTGGTACAACAGCTTGATGAGCTCGTGTAACATGATCGCAATGGAAGGGATGCCCATACCATGCTGGAACGAGGGAGAATGACAACGTTAAACCAAGCCTGTACCCGAGCAATATTCTCACTGACTTTTCCTGTGGTGCGCTTCAATCTTATATTTATCCTGGTGTTAACAGAGGATGAACCACAACATTTAAACCTAGAAGCTACTCACACTTTGAGCAATGTCAAAGTGCACAAGCAGCTGTCATGTATGTGACCCCATTTGAGCCATACCACTTGTCTAATAGGTAGCCCTGAGGAACCCGACGCTCAACAGGGAGGTGACGGCCCACCATTGCTAGGTAACAACAGCACCTTCCATCATCTGAAGGCCTGCATAAATGCCCGCTCCTCTTTCCCACCCTAAACACACAGGTTAGAGTTTTTTCTCTTCACTTTTCTCCCTACACTTTCTGCTACAGCCAACCTAAATAACTGTCCAGTCCCTCTGCACACTGGACACCAGCCAGCTTGCTGAGTCTGTCCTTCTGCCTGTGGGGGGTCTCTGTACACCCCATCTTCCTGCCCTACTTTAAGGGCCCTTTGCCTCCTTTGGGGGTCTCTGTACACCCCATCTTCCTGCCCTACCTTAAAGGCCCTCAGAGCATCACAACTTACAGGACTCCCCCATCATCTTCATGCTATTCCAGTGGCCCAGCCCCTGTTATGCTCCTTGTAGAATCTGTCAGGGCACCTTCTACGCAGAAAGTTCATCCTCATGTTCTCTCATGAACAGTGTCTTGGTTCCCTGATGTGTTCTAGAGCAGGGGTCTCCAAGCCCCAGGCCATGTACCGGTAATGGTCTATGGCCTGGTAGGAGCCAGACCACATAGCAGGAGGTGAGCAGCAGGAGAGCAAGTGAAGCTTCATCTGTACTTACAGCCACTCCCTATTGCTGGCATTACCACTGAGCTCTGCCTAGCAGGTCAGTGGTGACATTGGATTCTCATATAACTATAAATCCTATTGTGAACTATACATGTGAGATCTGGCTTGTACACTCATAACTCATTCCCACCTGACCCTCCCACACCCATTCCTAGAATTGTCTTCCTCAAAATCAGTCCCTGGTACCAAAAAGGTTGGGGACTGTTGCTTGAGAAGGTTGATATTGTTCGAGGTCTCAGCTGACCAGAGAGGCAGTCTCGACTGGAGGGGTATTCTTTCCCTGAGGTCTTCATTTACAATGCTGCCCACAAGGAGGTCAAAACTGGAAAACAAGATGGCTTGTTTGATAGAATACTGGAGTTTTGTGTGTCTATCGTTAAATCAAAATTTGTTACCAAGTGTCACTCACTCACTCACTCACAGTGGTATGACAGAAAAGATTAGAGGCTGGACACTTGTGTGTGCCTCTCCTTATAGGCATGCTCCAAGCCTGGTACTACCTCCTGTGTCTCTCACACATTCCAGACATGCATTCCCTGCATCTGCTGCCCTTACACCATGCAGACTGCCTTGTGTATCTGCATTGTATAGTCTCTCCTGCAGACCAAGCCTTGAGGGCAAGTGCCTCAGTCCCCCTTACTCTGGGTCCTAGCTGTGGGCACACCTTACTTCCAGCATTTTGCAGTTAACAAGGGTTGGGGACCAGCTGTCTGTGTTGGCAGAGGGGCAGGGCACATGTACTCACACTGACAGATAGCACCGGCCCAGCTTTATACATGGCGTAGCGATCAGTCCCCGCACAGATGTTGGGATAGTCTTGGCCTGGGCGGTCAAGGCCCAGCTCTGCTGCCACGTACCTGATGAAGGCATTCATTCGCGAGGGGCTTCCACCAACACATACAAACTGCAGCCAGAAGACAGAGTTCCCATAAGTATACTGTTGCAGCAAGGTCTTCAGACCAGCCACATCAGCATCACCTGGGAAACTGCTAGAAAGACAAATCCCTCAATCCCAGCCAGACCAGCTGGATCTGAGAGGCCCAGAAATCTGCACTAATGAGCTCCCCTGGTGAGCTTCAGAAGCACTGTCACTGAATACTGCTAATGACTCAGTGTAGGCGTCCCTCAGCACCAGGCAGCCCACTCCACAAATGGAGGAATCCAGACTCTTGCTCACTCTGAAAAGGGAATTCCAGAGGACTCTGGAATGTGCTCAGCCTCCCTCCTCCATGTCGTAGGAGCTCAGGGTCTTGGGAGAGCCTGGTTTTAGGATAAGATGGTGGGAGCTGTTCCCTGTCTCTCCACCTCCTCTCTGTGTAACCAGGAACACAATCCATCTGTAATGAGCTTCTAATCACTACCCACACCTGAACAGTAAGTGACAAAGGGCCAATGATGGCAAGAGCTGGATCAACTTGGGACTGGGAAGCTGCAGCTATTAAGGGAGAGTCTCTTTCAGAGAAAAAATTTGGAAAGAACCATGTAAGAAAATGTTTTGTTTTGCAAAACAAACAAACAAAAAAAAAATAAAATAAAAAGTTAAAAAAAAAGTTGTGCTGGTCCCTATACATAGTGGTTAAGAGGGCCTGATCCCACATGGCCAACCACTGTTTGAATCCCAGCCCTGGCCGCTTAAAAAAATATGTTAGGCGCATGTGAGTGCATGCCTAAACTCCCAACAGGATAGAGAAATGAAGACGGGACTGAAGTATGACCAGGTCCCATTGAGGAGGGGGGTGCTTTCTGTGTCTTTCTTCTATGTCTCTCTGGCAAGCACATGCAACCTCTGACAATTAAAAAGAAAAAAAAAAGTAAAGGGACCAGCAGTTGGCATAATGGCTATGTCGCTGGACCCCCATGTAGTCAACCACGGTTCGAGTCCTGGACCCGGTGGCTTAAACTCTCGCCGGGCGCATGTGCGTGCATGCGTGCCCAAGATCCCGAGAGGAGAAATCACCGGGGTGATTTCTCACTCTATCTCTCTGTCTCTGTCTGTCTGGTGAGTGCACGCGCCCTATAGTAAAAACCTCTCAAAAAAATAAATAAATAAAAAGTAAACAAACCAGTTTTAATACATTTGAAGACAAAATAAATGAATTATTATTTTCTTCACCTGTAAAAGAAATTTCTACAATCTGGAATAAAAATCACTATCATCTTCAAAGGGATGAATGGAAGGAAATCAATTGAGAGTGCATGAAAAGTTGACCCACAATTTGAAGCCAACACAGGTTGAGCATCCCTGATTTGAAAAACCAAAATCTGAAACGCTTCAAAGTTCACAACTTTTGAGTGTTGATAGGATGCCACACGTGGAAAATTACAACCTAACCTCATGTGACAGATCATAAGCAAAATGTTGCAATACAAAAATACTGTTAAAAATTATCTCCAGGCTGTGTATAAGACAGAAGAATTTTGCATTTAGACTTGGGTTCCATCCAAGGTACCTCACTATGTATATGCAATTATTGCAAAGTCTTAAAAAAAATCAAGAATCCAGAACACTTCTGGTCCCAAGCAATCTGGATCATTATCCAAACACTCAAGCATGTACTAGCAAGGAACACAATGACTGATGGGATGCAGTTCTCTTGTTCTGTTCTCATGCCACGTAGTAGCATTGGGTGCTGCTAGAACCACATGGGAGGACCTTGGTTCAGGACCAGGGTCAAACTAAGCATGCAGGATGCACCCAGAGTGTGCCCATGATCCAGGCTGGCTAGAGGGCTGAGGGAGGATCAGTGTGGCGTGACCCTGCCAAGGAGTCACTGCCTCTTCCTCTCTCATTTGCTCTCATGAAATAAAAAAATTTAAAACAAAAAAAATGTTTAAACCCTGGCTTTTTACCTTCACATCTCCAAACATAGCTGGGAAATCGTGTGTCTCAGTGCTTAGACTGAAATGATAGAGAACATCTTCTTTCATTGTTGCAACATGTGGATTTGAAAGCCGGACAAGGCAGTCACTGTTAGGAAACAAAAAAGTGGGTTAGGGAACAGTGGCATCATGGTGGCAACATCAACCCAGTGTCCTATGTCAGTGAAAGGTGTGAGACACATGGTGCAGAGCTGCCAGACAACCCCAACACTTCCTCTCCCTCTATTCTTCCTTCTCCTCTTAGCTCCTCTTTGCTCCCAGAGTCCCTGTCCAAGGCAATTCAAAAGAATTCAGAAAAACATACAAAAATACAGATATCAAAATGTTAAATCCTCCCATACAAAAAGAAGAGCGAGGGACTGACTCTGTGGCACAACAATAATGTACTACTCATGGGAAGCCAGATTCCATATGGCAACTGTAGTTCATATGCTGGCCTGGTCAGCCTGAGACACGCTGGGCACACACACAAGTGCCTAAGATGAGACAGACTGAAGGAAGGATGGAGGAAGGGGATCACAGAGTAACCAGATCCTGTGGAGGATGCACTCTTTTTCTCTCTCTCATTCTCACATGTGCACACATGTCCTCCATCATAAATAAAGAAAAATATTTTTTAAAAAAAGTAGAGCCAGGGCCAGTAGGTAGCATGGAGGTTAAAGCAGTTGGACTCTACATAGCTGATTATTCAGTTCAAGTCCAAGACTCAGTGGCTTGAAAAGCATGCCAGGCACATGTGCATGCATGCCCAAAATCCTGAGTGGAAAATGGAGAAGAAGAGATTGGGACATGGCCATTCCCCCCCTGGGGAGGGGGGGAGGTGATTTCTCACTTTCCCTCTCTTTTTTTCTCTCTGTGTATCACTCTGGTGAGCACATATTCCTTATAGTAAATAAAAAAAAAAAAAAAAGAGCCAGTTGCTATTCAAATGAAGTTCATTCAATACATAGTTGGACTTCATTTTTAAAGTAGTATGTTCACCTTAGAAAAATAAGGCAGCACATGGCAGATGTGCAAAATAGCCACTAGTGGCCCTTCCCTGTTTTACCTATTTTATCTATAACTTTTCTGATTTCATTTCTTTCTGGCAGTTAGCATTGACATCCAAGCCCCAGCCACCAAGGGCCCAGCCTCTCCCTCTGCCGACACCCAACTGCTTCCTTTCATGTTTCTCTGATTTCTCTTCCTGTCCATCCCCCATCCAGTGCTGTCCAGATTAACTCACACCTGAATAGTTTCAAGAGTCTACTACAAAAAAAAAAAAAAAAAAAAAAACGGTTAAAGAGCATGATGGAGCTTTCTACAAAGGGAGTGTCTTACTGGCTGACTGTTTATGGGCAAGTGTTAGGAGATTTCAGAGGCGCAGGAGCTGATAAATAAATGCCAGCAGTGATCAATTGCAAGCAGGGCCCACGCAGGTTGCAACCCAGGCAAAGATGCAGGAAATTTTGCTCAGGAAGAGCAAGTAACCTGCTGAAGGCACACAGCACACCTGTCTGCCTCTAAACCCACATCTTCCTGTTAGGCTATGTTGCTTTCCAGATTCAGGGTTAATTTTACTCTTGGGGAGCAAGGAGAGGCCATTTTTCAAGGGACCAAATGTGGAAGTATGTGTAATGAGGACTGTCCCTAAACTCTCCCAGAGGGCCTTTTCCTCTCTTGGCCAATGCAATTCTGACAATCCTAACAGTCACAGTGTGTGACGATCCTTTGATGACAAAGATTTCAATGCAACCATAATTTCCACTGCCCTTCAAGATATTAGGAGCAGAGAGTACAAAGAGAAGGACTGACGGGCAATGCCTCACAGTGACAAAACAGGACGTGATTAAGAAAACTCAGTCACATATTTCAAAATAGAAAACCTTTCTTTTCTCCCAGACGCCAGGAGGAGAAGGAAATAGTGTATAACCATAAAACCACAAGTAAATATTTCTATAAATTTGACACACACCATATGAATTGGAACATGCTTTTTTTTAAATTGCCAGAGGCCACACGTGCTCACCAGAGACAGAGAGTGAGAGAGAAAAAGGATGCATGTTTTTCAACCCAGCCGTGGTTGCTCATATGGGCTCCTGTTCTCTTAATTACTAGGTTACAAGGCCAGCCCTCCAACTTATTTTTTTTTAATTTTTAAATAATAAGTCAGAGACATATTACTTGGAAAAAATATTTCTCTAGTCTATACATAACCACTTTATCTTGTTTTATTCTTTCACTTTATTGATTTAGCAACTATTCATGGAGCACCTACTATGTATAAGAAGTGCGTGAGTTGAAAAGGAATGATAGTACAGGAACAGCAGGTGGCATGGTGGTTAAGGTGCTGGACATTCCCAAATGGTCGACCACAGTTCGAGTCCCAGACCTGGTGACTTGCTTTCTCACTTTCCCTCTCTTTCTCTATCTGGTTATATTTTAAAAAATGAATAAATGAATAAACACAATTAAATAAGTAATTAATTAAAAAAGAAGAAAGGGAACGAAAAATAGCTTCCAGTTCCAGGAGTTTATCAGCAAGAAAGTGAAAATCACTACCAACAGTGAAATAAGCAGGTTCTCATGAGGACAAGAGGAGAACGGGAGGGAAGGGATGCTGGGGCAAGTGGGTACTGTGGGAGAGAGAACAGCTGGAAAGGTCGGTAGGGAGGTTATAGCACGGGACCTTGTTAAGGGTGCCTGTCTCATGCTCTTATTCTCTCAGAATAAGTAAATAAGCAAACTTTTGTTTTAGAGGTCTTTGCTATAGAATGCACGCACTCACAGAGACAATAAGAAATCACCCGCCAGAGGTAGTCATGCTATGCCGCAATCCCTTCTTCTTGTCTCCTCTCGGGATTTGGGGTATGTATGCACACGTGCCTGGCATGAGTTTTAAGCTGCCAGGTCCAGGACTCAAACTATGGTGACTACGTGGGAGTCCAGCAACATAACATTGAGCCATCTACTGGTCCCAGCAAAGTTCTTTTTAAAATAACAAATAAGTAATATGTACCAAGGACACCATTATTTCCATTAAGAAGTCATCTCTGTGCCAGCCAGTGGCCTGGTGGTTACGGTAATTTAATTGCATAGGGCTGACTACACAGTTCAAGTCCCAGGCCCAGCCGTTTGAAAATCATGCTGGGCACATCTGCATACACACCCACAATCCTGAGAGGAGAATGGAGAAGGAATCATAGCATGGCCATCCCCCCAGGGGAATGCTTTCTCAATTTCCCTCCCTCTCTCTCTCTTGCAAGCACACAAACCCTATAGCAAAAATATTTTAAAAAGGTCATCTCTGCAGGTAGCATCTACAATGCAACCGGAAGTGTGAAAGTGGACATCAGAACCCCCAGGGGCAAGAAGGAAAAAGAGGAATTATCCATAAGGTATTCCTGGACGTGACTGTCACTAAGAGACTTTAGGGGTCTCTGAGAGGCAACAGAGGAACAAAGGAGACAGAGGGCCTCAAATGAGGGTTCTTCGCAGCTCGGGGTGGTGTTCTGGACAGATGCCACCCAGGTAACCCCAGCAGAGGTGACGGGTAACAGTATGGTGGGGAAATTAGGAAATCGGTGGATTTAAAGTCCCTGTAGGAATCAGGATGAAGGCAAGAAATTCTTGCTTTGCTGGCAGCCCCCAAACATAATGAGGGCTCATGAGAAGCAGACGCTGGAATGGGGGAAACTGCAGAGGAGAACATCTAAGACTCAGAATCGAGACAGGCAGGGGGATAAGCAGGGGCTTTGGGTTAAGAAAAGTGGCCGCGTATGGAAGCAAGCCTGCCAGACGCAGACTGGATTTTTCCACTTCATGCCTTCTGAGGGCTGGAGGGCCTGACCATCTTCCTTATGAGCATACCCAGCTGTGAGGCCTGCTCAGCTTCGGTCTCAGTCACAAGAATCAAAAGTGTTCATATAGTCAACAAGTCCAGCCCAGCCTCACCCGGCCTGGTGCCAGGCCCAGACTCACCTGTGATTTTCAAGCTCCTCTGACTCAGCTCCAGCAGCCGCCATCCTTCCACTGTGGCAGGATCCTAAGGAGAAACAGCAGACGGGCATGAATCCACCCCACAGAGCCAAAGTCAACACAGCCCAGTAACGTGGGAAGTTAGTGCAACACAAGGGAACTCCTACATACTCACAAGCACATACCCTCTGTGGATGAGGGTGGTGTGTGCGTGTTTAGAAGGTGACTAATAGAGGAGGCAGCAAATAGGTGCCCAAAACCCAAATGGTGGGCACTCCACACTTCCCCATGTCTCCTTTCCCAGCCCCAAAATACTCGGGACTGCAGCACCCAATGGACCATGCCTCTGCCTCGTGCTCCTAGATCTTAACTGCCCTCTTCTCAGTTTCAAGGGCAACTGAGGCAGTAGGCGGGATCAGCTCAAAGAGACGCCACAGGCATCAGCTCTGGCACAGTCTGGGAGAAATGAGGGAGGTGAGTCCAGACCACACTCTGTGGCTACAGGGAAGTCCAGTGAAGGCAAACAGACACAAGGACACAGCAGCAGGGCTCTACAGCACTCATGGTCAGAAAGCCCTTGAGACCACTTCTCTGCGTGGAGAAGGGCAGATTTGCCAAGATTCTGAAGGGCGAGGGAGAGGCTCATGTTTTGAACTCAGTTCATTTTTAAAACCCATTCCTGAGAGGTCTGTGCCTGCTAGGCCCCAGCTCCCCAGCCAGCTGCAGGGCTAGATTCCCTTCAAAGATGACAGAGACAATGTGGTTTCCAGGTCCTCCAGGTCATAAAGCTGGTCAACAGAAGTCTGCAGGTGCTGTCTCTGTGCTTCTCATATTTCTACCTCATCTCACCAAGCTAAAGCCCCAAAGGTCTCTATTGGAGAATGAGATTTGTAACTGCTATTACCATAATACACTGACCATTTTCAGTAAATTCTGAAGACCAGAGAATATTAGAGATTAATTGGGTCTGGAGCAAAAATGTTCCTGTAATTGCTGCTTTTTCTGTCTTCATCCTTCTTTTTTGTTCTCCTATAGAACTGACAAATACCCCTTTAGGGGCCAGCTCCAGAGTGAAGTGGTTAAGAGAGCTAGATCCGATGTGGTTCAAATCTCGGCCTCAGCAGCTTGAGAAACACAGCGGGCACATGTGTGTGTCTGAAATTCCAACAGCATGGAGAAATGGAGAAGGTTCTGCAGCGTGACCATGTCTCACTGGGAGGTGCTTTCTCCCTTTCCCTCTGCTTCTCGCTTTGTCTCTTTCTGGTGAGCACGTGCACCCTCCAGTACATTAAAAAAATAATAATACTTTTCAAGATGCCTTTGGAAATGTCAGCCTACTGCAAGCCAGTGAAAGGGAGCTAAGAAAAAAAAAAAGTTTTAAAAGCAGTGCCACACTTCACTCTGCACCCTGCAAAAGACAAAAGTCAAGCACAGTGCAGGGGGTGGCTGTGTATACTCCAGCAGAGGCACTAGAGCAGCGCTCCCCACCTGCACATTGACACTGATGAAGGAGGTAGGAGCCAGTGGTAGGAGGCAGGTGGTTCCTGCATCACTTACAGAAGGGCTCCAAATCAGTCATGACTTGAGACCTTCTATAGCATCCACTAAATGACCTGCAGATAGCCAGTTTCTGCAGAAGTCTGGCTTCCAGGACACACACTACTCAAGCACCTTCGCCATGGCCATGCCCTGCACCTTGGCTTCCCTCCCCGGGGCTCTACTTCTCCCAGCCTTGTGGCCAAATGGAGGGCTATGTATTCTGGCCAGCCCCAGCCTCTTTTTGGAGCTCTCAGTTCTCCAGACAGAATTGCATCAGGAGTCATACAGAAAGTCACAATCCCCAGGGCCAGTTTCACTGGGCAGGCACAATCCTGTATGAGTGCCCTGAGTACTCCCCCTGCCGCCACACTCCATGCTGCTTTTTCCTTTTGGAGTGGGGAGACCTTGGAGGAGGTGGCATCCTCAGGGAGCTGGCAGGGTAGGGTAGAGGCCACCTTTCCCATGACAGCAGCTGAGAGCATCCCTTAGAACCACAAAATCTGCTTCCAGGAAATTTCCTCATAAAGAATCCAACCCCTATTTCACAGAAATGGAAACCGAGGAGAGTGTGTTGGTCTTGCTGCTAAAGGTTTTCGGTCCTAGGCTCGGTTGCCTCTTGCCTCTGAACCAAAGAAACTGAGGCCAGATCAGCAGAGACCAGTTCTGTTGCCCAATCCCAGCCAACCACTAGCTCCTTCCTGGGTCAGTTCCTGGACCTGCCTCACTCCTGGCTTCCCCTTGAAACCTCAGTAGGCACTCTCCTCTTGATGTGTGCTTCCAGGAGTTACTTCTCCCCACTGGAAGCCCAGAACTCAGAGACACTTTCTTTAACCAACTTCAGCAAAGAAGGTGCAGACTTCTGCCAAGACTCTGATTGGGAAGTTGCCTGTGAGTGGCCGCACAGGCAGGTTTGCCCAGGGAGTCCTGGCACGGTTCTCAGAGATGTGTTTCACTACCAAAAGGATCTGGGCTTGGAGGATAAATCATGTGAGACAAAGTTTATTCCAAAAAGAGGGGCTATAAGAGATACAAATACTAAGCAACCTGCAGTGTTTTTTTTTGTTTGTTTGTTTGTTTGTTTGGACCGGTTTCTGCTATAGGGTGCGTGCACTCGCCGGAAAAACAGAGAGACAGAAAACGAGAAATCACCCCCCCAGGGGGGATGGCCACACCACAATCCCTTCTCCTCCTTTCTCTTCTCGGGATCTTGGGCATGTATGCACACGTGCCCAGCGTGAGTTTAAGCCACCGGGTCTGGGACTCGAACCGCAGTCGACTACATGAGAGTCCAGTGACATAGCCATTACGCTAACTGCTGGTCCATCAGAGGGAGTCATTGACCGTCTGCTTAGCAGTCAACTACACGGGTGACTGCCATAGATGTTCTTTCTCAGCTAATTCCAGGTCCATGGTCTCCCTTCGACTGATTGTGCATCCTGCGACTAGACACCATCACTGCCAGTAAGCTGCTTCAGACGGCTTCACTAATGCACTATCACCCAATGTGGTCCCTCCCCCACCTACTCCATCTCCATGAGACCCTCCCGTTATCTCTGTGCAGTGTAAACCCTCTCAGAATAACTTACATGGATTGTACCCATTGCTGTTGTGAAAGCCCCAGCCTTTTCCAGGTCAGAAAAATGTTGCCACTCCCATCTGGCCATGCAGCTGGGAGCCATGCCTGTGTGTCCCAGGGATCGGACCTTATTTGACGTTGGCTTCTTAAGATTAATACACTCCTTTTTTTCTTATAGTTTTGCTTTACAGTTGTTCTTTTTGGCATGAAAATCACGTGGTCACCTCACCTACCTACAGAAAGTCAAAGACAGAGGAGGAGATTGGGAGGAAACCAGCCTCTCAGTAGACTGGCCAGAGCCCAGCAGGGTGGAAATCAGGGTGAGAGCTGAGCCATGACTCATCCTTTCCCAGGGTCACTCAGGGTGGAGGAGGCTGTCCTTATTAAATGTGAAGTAATAACAATTTAGGGATACAGTGCTATGTTTGCATTTCTTTTCTTTTTTATTTTATTTTAGGTTTTTGCCATAGGGCACATACACTCACTGGAGAGAGACAGAGAAAGTGAGAAATCACTCCCCAGGAGGATGGCCGCACTGCAATCCCTTCTCCCCACAATCCTCTCAGCATTTTGGGCATGCATCCGCATGAGCCTAGCGTGAGTTTCAAGCTGACATGTTTGGAATTCAAACCACAGTCAGCCATGTGGGAGTCCAGTGCCTTAACCACTATGCCACCTGTTGGCCCCACATTTTTCGTTTATCTATTTTATTTATGATAATGAGGGCTAGCATGCACAAAGAAAAAGAGAGAGAGAGAGACAGACGCTCTAGACAAGGTCCCATCACCTTGTAATACCCTTTCCCTGGTCCTCCATCACATCAGGATCTTGGAATGGGAAGACAAATGGTGTGTTTCCAGACCAACCCTGGGGATCCAAATCCACAGTCAGCCATGTCCTTCCAGCTCTGCAGTTCAGTTTGCTACCCATTGTACCATTAGATTGGGCCTAGATTTAAACTTCAAAGCCAACCTTAAGTTAAAAAAAGAGTAGTGCCTGAGCCAGCCAGGTGGCAGAGTGGTTAAAGAGGATGTATCCTACATAGCCAACTGGGCAGTGCAAGTCCCAGACCCGGAGGCTTGAAAAACATGCCAGGTGAGTGCACGTGCATGCCCAGAGAGTAAAGAGGAGGAAAAGGGGTGGTGGCCTGGCCATTATCCTTGAGGATGATTTCACTTTCTCTCTCTCTTTTTCTGTCTTCTCTCCAGCAAGTGTATGTGCCCTATAACAAAAATAAATAAGTAGAAACAGTCACTAAAATTGCATTGTTTTCCCAAGCTCCCAAGGTTGGTAAAAGTACAGCCCACTAGGGTTTGGCCTAGAAAGGGGGAAGCAGAAGTGGTCCTGAGACCCAGTGTGAACTGCAGTCCTCTCAATTCCAGGTCATAAGTGACCGCAAGGCCAGACACAGGCCTTCTAGTGGCCTTTTCCTATCACAGGAGGATGCCTCTTTGGGAGTGCCCCACCGCCCCCTCCTCGTGGTTGGGAAAGGGCCTGGCCTCTGCAAGCTGAGGGCATGGAGACAGGACAGCCAGGCACTGCCTTTTGCTCCACTTACTTCGCGCCTTGATAGGAGAGGTTACTTACGGCACAGTAGGGAATATTTCTGACGACTGCTTTTTGTATTGTTTCGCTGAAGGTCAATCATTGTACAACCTGGATATTTTTCCTCTACCCAATTTAGAGTTTATTTCCTAATGAGACATATTCAGTTTAGCAGAACGGTCTTCCGGCCTCACCATGACCCCAAATCTGACCCCACTGTTCCACTTCCTGTTTACTATTTGACTAAGAAAAGCCAACTTGACAAATGCCATTGCTGAATTAGCCCAGGGCAGCCACTATCCATCCGGGATGGGTGTGGGTGCTCTTGGTCTCACCAAGAGGTGTAGGTACTTCTTCAACAGCAGGATGAGTTCTAGTGCTGGCCTGGACAGGAGCTTCTTAGCTCACCAGGGCCAAAACCCTTTCTCTTTTTAATGTCATAAACAGACAAGGTATTAAGTGGGCAGGCCCCTTAGCCTAGCAGTCACAAGAGCTGAACCCCACATGGTTGGCCACAGTTTGATTTCCAGTCCCATTGACTTGAAAAACACCAGGTGCATGTGCACGCCTGCCCCAAATTCCACCAGGATGGGGAGACAGAGGAGAAGGAATTGCAACCCTCCATGCACCACTGGAGAGTGCTTTTTCCCTCTCTTGCCTCTTTCTGACAAGTGCACATGCTCTCTGGCAATAAGAAAGGAAAGAAGGAAGGTAGGAGGGAAGGGAGAAAGGAAGGAAAGTATGACAGTAAGTGCCAGCAGATTACCAGAAAGCTTTAAGTATCAAATGCATCAGTCATTTAAGGAGTCCAACATCCCCTGTGACATACATAAGGGATCAGCAGGCTGCCCTCCAGAACTTCACCCTGTGCCTGCAGAGGTTAGTGTCCACCTGGTGTAAAAGCATCTCCTACGCTATGTATGATCTGGAGAGAAACAGAAAGAGCCAGGGCACAGAGAAGCTGGAGTTCAGTGTGTGTAACACACCCAGCAAGCCAGGAGTTAACTCCAACATGGGCAGCTTACGGGGAACCAAGGAAATGCCAACAGACCCTGAAGTTTCATTTACTTCAGCCCTGAGGAGGGAGCCAAGAAGAATTGGTGCAACCCATATACACCTAGGATAAAGCAGTGGGTTTTTGATGATTCTGCACAGGAACCGGACTGGGAAAGAGGCCCAGAGGCCAGCATGGCATGACAGTGAAAGTGCTAGATCTTAGATGGCCAACTCCACAGTTCGAATCCTGGACCCAGCAACTTAAAAAACATGCTGGTGTGAGTACATGTGTGCCCAAAATCCTGAGAAGAGAATGGAATAGAAGGTATTGTGGCATGACCACTCTCTGGGGAGGATTTTTCACCTTCCCTCTCTCTGTCTCTCTCCTGTGAGTGCACGGGCCAAAAAAAAAAAAAAAAAAAAAAAGGGGGGAAGCCCAAGACTAAAAGAAAGGCCAGGCAGAGACCTGGCATCACAGCATAGATTTTAAAATAGAGCCCCATTGGGTCATTTGAGAAGGGGTGGCGATAAAATCCATGCCCTTTGAACTGAGATAAGGGTGAGCTTTCATGGAGAGCTGACTGCTTTTCAAAAGCCCCAGGCAATTTCTCAGCCCTAACTTTGACCCTGGTGCCTGAGGAAGACAGCAGACCAGAGCTGATCTGGGGTAATGTTTCTTCTAACATAGCTCCATGATACTCTCAAACTTCACACCAAGGGAAGAACAGTTCCTGGATCTTGAAGACAAGTTTCTCACCTCCCTAGGGTCTCCATTATTCTTTATCCAACGTGAGGGTGTTGCCAGCAAGTTTTGCCCCCAGAAGAATTGTGATCCTGAGTCCCCATGCCTTTGCTGTGATCAACTGGGGCTGCCCAACCTTGTTGCCAAATCCCCTGTATTAACCAAAACAATTGACGGGGTGGGGTGGCCAACCCAGTGGCATGGTGATTTAGGCAACTAGATCCCACACAGCCCATGTCAAGAGTCAAGTTCTAGGCCTGGCAGCTTGAAAACACACTGGATACATGTGTGTGCTTGCCTAAAATCCCAAGAGGAGAGTCGAGAAGAGATTTCAAAATCCCAAATAGTGGGATCCCCCTGGGGTGTGATTTCTCACTTTCCCTTTTTTTACATTTTGTCTTTTTTAGTTTTAACCCACTAATCTACAATCAGGCAGGCTAGCTGTGTAAATCATTTATTGTGTAAACATTCATAATACCTTTTTGAGTGAACATATGCCAAAAGCAAGCGGGTGGGAGGGAAAGGAAGAGATGGAGGAGGAGGAAACATTTAATGTTTATTTTTAGAGAATAGGAAGACTTGGAAGTTTCACTTTCTGTTATACATTTGCTTTTTTTGGGGGGGAGGGTGTATTTTTTCAAATAAGCTTGCACTAATTTAAGCTTGCATTAATTTTATGATCAGTAAAGACAACAAAAAAGTCCACTTTGACAAAAAGCCAATACAAAGAAATACTAATCTACCATATTTACCCTTTTTAATTAAAACATCAGTGCTTGGGGCTAGCAGGTGGCATGGTATTTAAAGGCACCGGACTTCCACAGGGCCAACTGTGGTTCAAGATCCAGACCTGGCAGCTTGCTTCCTCATTTTCCCTCTCTCTCTCAGATCAAATTAAAAATAATATTAATAAAGTAAAAATTAAATAATTATTCTTTAAAAATCAGTGCTCATCATGCCCGGGATATAATTTGTATCTAATGAGCCTGGCTGAATGTAAGAAGTCTTCAGTAATTGGCTTATTCGGAGGAGCAGTGGTCAACTTGGCCTCCGAAGAAGGGAGAGAAAGAAGAGAGATGGCAAAGAGGTGGGGGGAGGGCTGGCCAAAAGCAGAAGGCCACTAATTGAAAGGCCTACCAGACAATGGCATGCACAGAGAATTTAGAAAACCCAGATTAAGACATTCTTTCTATTCAAGGAGTCACCAAGATTTCTAAAGCCAAGGTTACAGCGAATGAAGAGAACCAATGGTCCTTTCAACTGGAAGACCTCAGCAGTGCGGGAAAGGAGCCCAGGAAAGGCCAGGCGGGCGGGACGGAAGGAAACAAGGGTAAGGCCATAGCACCCAGCGCAGACACTCGGACGGCGAAAACGGTCTTTTCCTACTCGGGATTTCAGTCAGTGTTCTCTGACACTCGCCCTCAGGGGACAGCGGCTTGGTGCAGACCCACCTCCCCAGTGGCTCAGGAGACAGGCGTTCCCGGTCCGGTTGCGGAGGCTGCAACCGAGTCACCCACGACCTCGAGTCACCTCGCCGTGCCCTGTTTGGACTGAAAAGGGACAGGAGAGCTGCCGACGGCCCCTCCCTTCTCTGGGCTCTGCCAGGCCTAGGACCTGAGCGCCTGTAAGAGAACTGCCGGAGGACGCGCGCACCTCTGCAGATTCTTCTTGTGTCGTGTAACAGGTGTCCCGAAGTTTCTCTGTGAAGCCGCCAGCCAACTCCACGCCGATATCGTCTACAGTAACATTTTGGTAAGTGTTGGATCCAAGCATACTTGGATCCATCTGAATTCTGAAGGTTCTCGCACCAGCCTACAAAATGAAACTTTACTCCCTCTCGCCATAAAAGCCGGGGGGGAACAAAACAGTCTTGCCCCTTTGGGGTGCCCACAGCGTTCAGAGACAGGACCCTGGAAGCGCATCCTCCGGCGCGCCCCTCCCCCACAGCTCAGTGCGCACCCTCCACCCTGGACACCCTCTTCCCCGCACACTCTCCTAGCCCTCCTGTGCACCCTTCTCCCCGCGCCCACGCTCCAGGCCCCGCGTGCAGCCTCCCCGGGCCCAGCTCACACCCTCGCTGCGCGCACCCTCGGCAGCCCCGCGCACATCTTCCCCGCACGATCGCGCCGCGCACCCTCCTGCCAGGCCCTCCTTGCACCGCCTTCGCAGCTGACCGCCCGGGTGGACGTAAGCGTCAGTCACTTGACCAATAGATGAACGGAAGCACTGCCAAGGCAGGGGACGCGCGACCATCCTGCGAAGTGAGATCTGAAAGCAGAATCCAGCCGCGGACTCACCGCCTTCCGCTGCCGGCTCGGGCTCCCTACGCCGGCTGCGCCACCTCCGCGCAGCTACGCGGCGACAAACACCCCTGCAAGGGCCCAGAGAAGGGAAGTTCGCGGGAAGCTCGCGGACAATGGGGCGGGACTGGTCACTGGACCACTGAGAAGAGGTAACGACGGGACAGGTGACTCTCAGTTCCTAAAATGCGCGCCCCGCCCAGCTGAGGTCCCCCGCTGAGCCCAGCTGGGGCAGCCCCGCCAGCCTCCCGCTCAGCACGACCCTGCAACTGGCCGCTAAACTGCCCGGGC